TGAAGAAGTGTCCATCACATCAGTGGCCACATGTTTAATTGCAATGAGAATTTGCCTTAGTTACTTTTTTTAGGGATCTTTTAGTATGCATCTGGGTGGAAATCTACACATCCCTCAAAACAGATGCAAATGTTATCGGCATCACAAAGAAAACGCACCACCAGAGATTGTATTTCCTGCATCAATGGAAAAATCTCAGTGTTTCCCGGCCCATTCCCTTTCAGTTTTTAGAGGCATTATTGAGAGCATTCTCTCAGCTTCTTGAACCGTTTGGTTTGGCAACATGTCTGTCCATTCTAGAGGCGATTGCAACACATCGTCCACTGTGCAGAGAGAGTCACTGGCTGCCATTTGCCATTTACTGAAGACCTGCATAAACTCAGTCTAAAGAAGTGAGCAGAAAAGATTGTCAAGGGCTCCTCCCATCCAGGATACCATCTGTTTAAGACATTTGCCTTGGGGAGATGCTACCGGTCAAACCAAAGCTGCTCAGCCACAGCCAATAGCCTGCTTAGCCTGTGTGAGAAATGTTCTCTGATTCAGCCTCTCTGGACTCTCTATATACAATAGTGTTTATGCTAATGCAATCTCTTATGATCCCTATGCTTGGACGATACTGCAGACACAGCTACAGTACTTTGTATTTTGTATGGGTTCAACAGCCAGCAGCAGCATCTTTTTTGTTCAAAAATGATGTGAATTTCCTCATTGTAATTAGTCGCACAGAGCAAGTGTGGACCTCTCTTAATAAATTCATCATGAATTATTTCACAAAGAATTGACTCTACCCCTGAGGGTCTTACAATGCTGAATGCTGATTCTCACTTTCAGAGCCACTCTGATTGTCTTATTCATCTCTTAGGCCGGCACATAGAACTCACTGACACCTTAAAGATGAGTTCAAGGGGAAATTAATGCATCAAAATCAGGTGGTAATTTGTTATACTAAAAATATTTTTTAAACAGTTGGAGAGATGCTTTTATCAGCTCATTAAATAGAGTATGTGGTATTGCTTGAATGAAATTGTTACTTTTGAACCAATTGTGTTAACTGCATGTAGAGTAATGAATTCATCCAGAGTGGAGTAAATGTAATCATTGCATTCCCCAGACTGGGGAGTGAATGAAGGTAATGGCATTAGCGAACTCTTCAGCAAATGGATATTAAAAATGAAATTTGAGTTTTGAAAGCAGAAAATATTTAAATTAATTATTTGTTTTACTGCTCCCTTAGAGTCATAAACTGTTAGAAAAACAGTTGCTGCTGTCCATATGTAAATTTATGCTGCATAATTTAAATTTAGTTAATGTAAGAGGATGCAATCCACCTGAACGTCCTCCTGTTTTTATTATGAGATCACAATTCACAAAATGGAATCTGCAGATCTGTGAACTACCAGTTTCATGGTGCTATATCTGTATCCTAAAGAGCTGCGTATTAAAACTGATAACATACTCTATAGTACAGAATCTCTCTCTCTGGAAAAGCCCTTCCTGTTCTGTAGATATCTGAAATCTGAACGTTTACCTAAATCTTACAATTGCAATGGAATTCTCTGTGAGTGAAGGTTGTGTATGAAACTGCTATGCAAAGGTATTAGACTGAATAAGGAGTTAGAATATGTGTGTGTTATGATCCACAACAATTTTCTCAAAGCCTCCACTAGTATTTTCTACTGCTGTAACGACAGTTATTAGTTAATGGGTGAACAGAAACCAAGCCTGTCATTTAGCAGTGTTAATCTCACACTGAACAGTTCACTTGATCACATGATCTCGCTGGTCTAATGACATACGATCAGCTAATATGATGTGTTGCAGTATTTTATCCTTCAATGTACCTGTTAGATCCGATTGACTCATTAGCAGGTGTCCTTTACCAGACAGCGACTCCTAGGGAAGGTCATGACATCTCAGAGCCTATCCTGAAAGTGTGGAGCTCAATGCAGGACATGCAAACACACAATGCCAATTAAGAGACACCAAATAACACAGAAAGTATGTCTCTGGGAAAGATGTAACCAGAGCTCCCAGCAAGAGTCCATGCCAACGTGATAGGGACACGCAGACTCCACACAGAATGTGCCCCGCCTGGAACTGAATCACAGAGGATCCCGGAGCCAAGACAGTAGCACCAGCAGCCACATTACTGAGCCACCCTTTCTGCACGACAATAAAAGGTGACTTTTTGCTATATAAACTACAAATAATTAATAATAATAATTCTTGGCGTGATTTTATTTAGTGTTTTTTTGCACATTAAAGCAAAAATAAGCTGCCTGATAAAAAAAAACAGAAGAGCTTTTCTCTGACGCATGCAGAAGTTTTACAGTTAAAACAAAAATCTGCTCATATGGTATATGTATATACCAGCGTCACTGCACAAACACTGAGGTACAGTCTGGCTCACTGTTATAATTAAGATTATACCAGATAATACTAGATAATGCAGAGACAGAGCCTAAAAAGGGTAGTTTAAAAGTTTTTATTATAATATCTAAGTGAATTGCATCATCTTAGCATCATAATTAGCTCAATAGCATGGCTTTTAGACATGTGGGAGGCTATTTGAATATATTATTGCCTAACAGCAGCACATAGAAGTCCCCAGGAGCCTTCACTAATTAGGAAAAAGTCCCAAGATACAGTAACTGTTGCCTTTGATGGTAGATTCTTTTCACAACTTAGAAAGGAATTTTAAACAAAGAACCTTGAATTTCCTTGAAGTGATATGGACATTTTCATCTAACATTTTTTAGAATGATACAATTCTAGGAAAGAATGTGATCATCTTCGCTCTACTTGAGATCCACTCCACAAGAGTGCATTGTTATATTAAACTCAAGAGCAAATTGATGCTGAAGATGCTGATAACGATTCTTGTAGACCTGAACTCCTACATATTAAAATGAAGGAGGAGAGTTCAGATCCACCCTTAAATTTCTTAGAAATAAAAAAGCAATGTTTCTACTAGGGGAGAGGGAGAATGAGAGAGAGCAGGAACATGAGCTTGTTAAGGAGAATCACGACCTTCCAAAGACATGGAAATCTGGGAGACTGGCATTAAGACACCAGTAAAACTCTCTCCTTGAGAACTCTCTTCTCATGAGAAGCTTGTTTAGAGACTATGTTTTCCTTTTGTATATTTTGTACCTCTCAGGATTCCTAACCGGCCACAAAACTGTGCCTGCCAGTGTATCTGCAGGCAGGTAAACAAACAAAAGTGCTGTAGGTAAAGCAGAGTATTAGAAAGGCTGTGAACGAGAGAGTGCCCTGGGATTCATACACAGATAAAAGCACAAGAAGAGCAGGCAGAGACAGACGCATGAAGTATCTAGTCTGAGAACTGCTTTTTAGGCATCACACTAACAGCCTCAGAATTGTAAGGTGTGTGTCTGGGACTGTGGTCTTTCTCCTCCGGAGAGAGCGAGGCTAGACGCTACCCTTCCCACATCCCTCACAACTCCCTCAGGAAACACCGAGCGCGCACTCTCCACCACTCCCACGGCGTGCCATGGCTCTGTCCTGTCTGTGTGTCCTCAGGCAGCACGGCCTGTTTTTGTCTGAGGCTGATTCACCTGCTCCTACCTCCCCTTCCCTGCTTGTGCAGAAAAAGCAACAACTTCCCATTAGAAATTCCGCTATGCCTGTCAGATTTCTGTGGAACACAGAGAGACTGCCTGCTTTGCTACATTTCATTTATATACCCGAATGTGGATCTCTGGAGACGGCCTCATGTTCCTTTTTTTAAACACTCAATGCTTTTGAATTTCCATATGGTGTTTGACAGAGATCCATTTTAGCTTTTGAATTTTTCGGCTCTGCTTTAATCTTTTGCTCTGTTATTTACAAGGTAAACAGAACAACACAAAGCTAAGTAATAACCAGTGAGAGTACTGTAAATCACGACAAAGCACAGCACAGCTCACTAAAACGTATTATTACTGCAGAAAACTACTCTTAACATTAATTTGCACAAATACAAAGCATATAAAGGAAACCCACTTTAAATATTAAGACTGGTGTGTCAGCTACTTTATAATTGCAGTTTTAAAACCCTTAGTCAAATTGCTGTCAGTGTAGCTCTGTCTGTAAGTGCTCAGATTCCTCGTTGTTGCTTTTGCTGTTGTAATATAAGCTCAGCAAACACATCATAAAACAAGCTTTACTACAAGTACCTTAGTATTTATTACTAAGCATACAGTATCTAATTAATTATATGAATGAAGTTTAATTTAGCAGAAGCAGTAGGTTTAATACAGCTTTTCTTGTGCTTATGCTCTGCTGGAGTTAGTGGGGCTGTGCAGGGGAGCACTATTCTAGAAGCTCCTGCGTGAACTTTCAGTGATGCGAAACTCCTCCCCTGACCACAGACCTGCAGGGCAAACAGCCGGAGCATCCCAGCAGGACCGCGAGCAGACATGGCGCTGCAGGGCGAGAAGAGCTGTGCAGAGGCCGGGGGGTCTGAGGACTCGACAGTCACACAGCTCTGGAGAGACCGTGCTACTGTGCAGCACATCACAGCAGAGTCCTGCTCCTCAGGGGCTGAAATCTAACAGGTGCCTCAGTTTGGAGGATAAACCATTTACAACCAGAGGCCATGAAAGCACAATTAATTCCAATTAAACATTAATTAGATCAATTTAACCATCTTCCTAGCGGCTGAAAGAGATGATGATCTACAGAAGCCTGAATTACAGTACCTGTGTATGAATCAAGGCCCTGCAGGGGCAGGGCAGGCTGACCCACTGCATTCAGCCCAGCTCTGCAATACAACGGTAATCCTTTCAAGACTACAGAAAGCCAGGGTGGCCATCTGGTCCTCTCGTCCTCAGGGCCCTCTCACACAAGACAAGAATACTAAAGGATCCTTTAAAGTAAAAGGAACTGGCTTTTTAATTAAGCCAAAGCTGTGAAAAAATACAACAGTGTTCTACGCCATGGAATAAAATAGATTTCCAGCATTTTTTTTTATTCCTAATATTTCACTTTCTTCACAGCTGAAACCTCAGGATCCTCCTGTTAACGGATCACCAGAATCTGGACTCACACTCCCAGATGACATCAGTCACACCAGTCAGTCAGCTATTCTCCTCTTGTGACTGAAGGCAGAGGCAGCAAGACACAGCTTGCCGTGTGCGACAAGTAAGCAACAGTATCCAGCCATTCATCCCAGCTTACAGACAGCTCTAAAATATGTCCCTGTCCTGAAGGCAGTGGGTCCAGATGGCCACCCTAAGCACTGCAGCGGACTAACAGTAACTCTGTCTCTCCTCCAGCTGTTTCTGTCTTCTAGCTGACAGGTATTCAACTGTTTTTCCAATTGAAGCATTCCCTGGACAGTTGTGTTAAATCTCCCCCACACACACAGACGTCGTGAACTAAGTAGATCAATTGTACAAATGGCAAAGTTCACACAAGGGAGGGCAATCCTGGTCCAGGAGGGTCTGTGTCTCCTTGGTCGTCTTTTCTAGGTTTCTTTGAAGCAACAGCTCCTGGACCAGCAAGAGTCACCCCTGCTTCAGACAGTGATGGCTGATATGCAGGGCCTGTCCATCACAGGGCTCTCACACACAGGAGTCAGAGATCAGTTAGCCAGGGGAACATGTCTTTGGGAAGAAATCTGGGAGAACTGTGAGGAAGCTGCACCTACAGTACCACAGTGCCACTGTGCTACCCATTACAATGTACCAATTAGATTTGTCGTTTATTAGTAAAACAGCTTTAAATAACATTAAATAACTGCGTTTAAGAATTGTAGCCTGTAAATAATCACTCAGGTCAGAGTGCCTACTGTCTTTTCTTAATAAGGCTTTGTTTAATGAGTCTTAATTCTTTGGAAACCCGCGTATCCCCATACAATCGAGTGAGAGTCGCGTTACAAAGTCGCTGACGGGCAGTTTATTGAATAACTGCAGTTCAAGCGCTCCCCCTTGTGCTCACTGCCTGTTAATCACAGTTTTGCTTTTGTTTGGGGGAATTGCGCAGTTTTACTCTTTTAAAAAGTGCGTTCACAGGCATGTCGGCCTGTCTGAGCATGACAGATTTTTACCGCCGATGAAACTTTCTTGGACTCTCTTTAGACTGACCCCAACGGAGGCCGAGGCGTGCAAACTGGGAGCGGAAAAACAAATCTCCAGCAAAACTGCTGAGCCAGACATTGCTTCATCGCTATTCTTGAGTTACAAACCGATCTGCACTTGGAAAAATGTGTTACTGATCCAGTTAAGGTTAAACTAGACATATATATGATTTTTCCGTGGTTTTAAGCTGTTATCAATTAAAAGAGACATAAAAACCCAAATATATTCCGAATCAGGAGGTCAGTAGATTGGATAGTTGGGAAGAGTCTGCGCAGAATTACATTGACGATCCAAAACAACGCACCATCTCCTATAAACAGAATAGCCGTTTCACCTCTTCTGTTTTTAAGAAAACAAGGTCAAGTCATTAAGCATAACCCTAAGTGAAACCAAGTACGAAAATTATTTAATTAACTGCTTAGTCAGCAGCCGTATCACCCTGCAACTCACAACTGACAACCTCCAGAAGTTCAGCAGTGTGAGCCCGTCCAGCACCTGGATGGAGACTCCTGAGGAAAACTGAACCGCTGCTGAAAGAGGTGTTAGTGGGGCCAGCAGGGGGCGCTCACTCCAGCCTGTGTGGGGTCTTAATGACCCCGTATAGCGACGGGGACGCTACACTGTAAACAAGCGGTGTCCTTCGGATGAGACGTAATTCCAAATTCCTGACTCTCCGTGGTCATTAAAAACCCCAGGGTGTCCCTCGGAAAGAATGGCTGTGTTAACCCGACGGCCTGGCCAAACTTCCCATTTGTCCTTTACCAGTCTTGGCCTCTTATTAAATCCCAACTATAAGTTGGCTTCATCAGTCTGCTCTCCTCCCCAATGAGAGCTGGTGTGTGGGGAGCGCACTGGCGCATCATCCAGGTGGGGCTGCACACTGGTGAGGGTGGAGGGGAGCCCCGTGACCCTTAAAGCGCTTTGAGTGGAGTGTCCAGAAAGCGTAAAGAATTATTATTGTTATTTCTGAACAGAGGGGACGCCCTTCCTTACACTACTATATTTTAGTAGTATCTTAAAAAAATAAGACAATGGGAGACCGTTGAGAAGCGAATAAAAGACGCTTGACAAAATCAGAGCTGATTAAACGAATAAGGAAAAGCGCTGCGGCCTCTATCAACAACACGCCGGACAGACAGCAGGGCCGACCAATGGAGAGGAGCAGGAGGGGCTTATCGGAGTAAGGTGTGTGTGTGTGAGAGAGGTAACTGCTCGCCGGGACCGCGCTGAAGATGTTGTACACCGCGATATTCGTGGCTTTAGTTGTCATTGTGCTGCTGCACAAGTATGTCGCCCGCAGAGCTGGACCGAACCCGTTTGCCCGGGACACGCGAGAGCCGCCGAGGGCTCTGGTGCGGAGCAAGCAGGAGAAAAACAAGGTCCTGAAACAAGGTGAGCGGCGGCCAGGGCTGTGCGCCCACACCGCTGGGCTCGGAGCACCGGGCGCACAGCGGTTCCGACCCGAAGCCCCGTCATGTTCCCAACAGTTCTGCAGAACCGAGGAACAAGTTCGACGTTTCAAAGCCCTTGGGCTTTCCGCTTAAAAGGGATTAATGCGCGCACGTTTGCCTTTTGAATCAGAAAACGGATTGTTTTTTTTATTTTCTATCGTTTTGATTCGAACACTGTTCTTTTTTTAAAAAATATATATATATTATGTGTATTTGTCGCGAGTTGTCCTACTTCGTGTGTCTTTTCTTTAGATCGCATGTCTAGGGGGTTAAAGGTCGCAAGGTGGCTCAGGCTCAGTTTTGCAACCGTACGAAAACATTTCCTGCAGGAGTTTAGGGAGAAGGTGGCGGCATTAAGCAACGCGAATGATCAGGAAGTGTATGTAAATCAAAATAAAAGTCGGAAGTGGCGATTCTTCTGAATGCCTGTAATAATGTGGTTTTAGAACTCCTGCTAGATTTGCACAAGGCAGACTTAAAAAGCTCAATTTTACAGATAGACTAAAGCAGGACCACCTTACAATAATAACTAAAGAGGTTTATAACCCCGGCTGGGACATTTCTAGATCACTGTACTTGCAGGAATGCCTCGGGGCTTTTGCCCCTAAAGGTATCTGGGCTGTTTGCCTGAGTCCTGGGGGTGTGGGCAGGTGTCTGCTGTTTTTATGCAGGCAGAGTCCAAGACTCACTCCCCCGAGTAGTTGATGTAGGCTGTGTGGGTGTGGGGGTGTTTCCGATGCCAGTGGCCGGCGATCTTTCCGAGGCTAACGGCGGGCGCCTGTTGGCTCTCTCCAGGGTTCCTGCCCAGCCGCGTGCCGGAGAGCCTCGACGCGCTGGTGGTCGGCAGTGGCGCCGGCGGGCTGGGGGTGGCGGTGATGTTGGCCAGGGCCGGCAAGCGTGTCCTGGTCCTGGAGCAGCACGACCGGGCCGGGGGCTGCTGCCACACCTTCACTGAGAAGGGCTTCGAGTTCGACATCGGTGAGGCCCGCGGGCGGGGTGCGCTGTCTGCGCCGCTGGGAGTTTGCTTTCAGCTGCCTGGCAGTGGGCGGTCGGTGGAGCACAGTGGCACACGTCCTGGAGGAGACACTGCCTGGGAACCTGCAGAAAACCCAGCTCGTTCCTCCCCTTTCATCAGGCAGAGCCTTGCTGTCCTCCGCTGTTGCCATCGAGCGTACTGATAGACGGGCATCCTGGGCACCGTGTTTGGTAACCACTGCTGCAGGTGGCACCCACAAAACTACGTCACAGCCTCTAGGAAAGGCCACTGTATTAAAACTGCATTTATGATACATGCACATTAATCATACAAAATGAGAACGACATTTATTCAAGAAGAAAGAAAAAGGCTGAAATTGGAAAACGTGGTGCTAAGAGGCTTTATGACAGCGGATGTGTTTATCTTTTGAAGAGGATTACGCTCATTAACGTGTCGTAAGTGTGTGTGGTGGAAGGATGCTGCTCGGAGTGTTTGATAGTGAGGGCTGTGTTGCAGATTCCCATTTCCGTACCAGGCCTGGAGCGCTGCTGATCGTGTGCTCTTGGCAACAGGAATCCACTACATCGGGGAGCTGTCGGAGCACAAGCCACTCCGCGTCATGCTGGACCAGCTGACCGATGGCCAGCTGCAGTGGGCTAGTCTGGACAACCCCTTCGACCTGGTGGTTCTGGGTCCTGCCGGGAGCAGACGGATCTACCCCATCTACAGCGGGTGGCAGCGCTTCCCAGAAGAGCTGAAGAAGTTCTTCCCGGAGGAGGAGGAAGCCATAGATAAGTTTTACGAGCTTGTAAAGGTATTTAATCATCAAGCAGGCAGCTGTTCACCAGAGCACCTTAACAAGGAGCGTTAGTTATCTAAAGAAAATGCAATTTGTAATCCATCCATTCTCTACTTCATCCAGTTAGGCGTTGCAAGAGAGCCTGTCCTGGCAAGCAGTGGGCACGAGGCAGGATGTGCCCTGGGTGGGACGCCAGTCCATCACAGGGCACACAAACTCACACACACTCACGGCAGGGCCAATTTTCTCAAAAAAACAATCAAGTTACCAGTATGTCTTCACAGGGAGAACATGCAAGCTCCATGCGGATAGCACCCCAGGAAGTGAGCCCAGGACCCCAGCACTGTGAAGCAGCTTTGCTAACCACTGCCACTGCAGGGGCCCTGCAATGTGTGAAATATCTGAGAGGCAAAACGACACGTCGTCATTGTGTTACAGTAGATATGCAACACTGATACAATGGAAATCAGTGTGTGATAAAGTAAACATGAATATTCAGTGTTTTTGGCTCTATAGTTCAGCCTGCTGAAGAATGGAAACATCATGACAGGCGTAGCAGTAGTGTATAATCAGAGGAGCTCTCCCTTCTTGGCGAACCCTTCGGACTTTTCTGTGAAACAGTGATTCCTGTGTTTTTCCTGAGGTCGGTGAGAGACCCTGCTCCTGCTGTCAGTAGCCACACTTCTCTCACGTGGGGTCATCTCACATGCCCAGCTTCGCAACAGTACTGGCCGAGCTAAACTGAGGTTAGGAAGTCCAGGAATGGTGACAACTGAGGTCTGTAAAAGTGTCTTCATTTTAAAATAAGACTTATTTGGTCTCACGTTTTATATTTGCATTCCAGGATGATATCCTCCTTCACCAGTCAGGAGTTACTCTCAATGAGATTCTTATCAAAGGTTGTCGCACAGCTTCCTGTAATGACTATGTGAAAGCTCCTGATGTTGAAAGGTGATTCATCTCAGAGGGAAGCCACTGTGCTGGCCCCACGTTCAGTGAGAGCTGTTTCATAGTTTTCTCTTGTGTATTTCAGAAATGTGGAAAAGGAATTTGGATTCTGGCTGTTTTGAAAACAATCCCTGTCCTGCTGGCCAAGCTCCTCGTCTACACCAGGCTAGTGAATTGGCTCTCTCCGTTCTTCACGATGGCTGCCAGAAGTGTAACCGAGGTGGTCAATGAGCTCACAGACAACAAGGACCTCCGTGCTGTCTTTAGTTACATCTTTGGGACCTACGGTAAGACACATCGCAGAGGCCAGGAAACTGCTTTTAAGGCAGCTTAACGCTTGATGTTTATGTTGACAATTTTTCTATTGGCTTTAGTTCAATCTTAATCTTCCCTCTGCACATGTAAGATTATGGTAGACGCTAGATTTCGGAAGATCGCTTTTACTGTGGCTGAGTGACGAGAGTGAGGGGTTGCGGAGCAGGCCAGGTGACGTCTCTCCCTCTGTCTCGAGCTTCCTCATGCTTGTGGGTGGCTATAGTTTCTAATGCAACGGCTCCCCTCGTCCTTCAGTATTCTGGCTTACGGGGCATGGAGACTGGAGGCAGTGATAGAATCAGGGTATGGCTGCGTGATGGAGTCGTGGTAGCTCAGACAGCAAGGGCATCTAGCTCCTGACTGGAATGTCCCGGGTTCAATCCCAGGTAGGGTCAAGCGATGTAGCTCTAATTCCTTCCAGATGGCTCCCAGGTCTTCTCAGCCTGCTTTCCGAATGAGTACCGGGGGTTAATCCTTCCGGGGGTAATAGGCCAGCCGGAGCGTGATGCTGACCACATCACCTCCACCTCCAGTGTCGGATGGTCAAGAAAAATGGTGGCCCTTTTCCCCCCATTCCCCATGGGCTTTTATGGCCTAATAAGGGACCTGCCTTCCTGCCTATGGCTGTGTGCAATTGGTGAGAGGCAGGTGCACACAGGACAGAGGAGCTTCTCAGAGGGGACAGGGCTGCGAGCGATGGTGCAGACTGGATTTCTGCAGATGGCCGTTTCTGACGCTGGAGGGTTGAGGGAAGAGAAAGCAAACGAGGGAGGAGTTTCACTCCAACAATACTTGTTCTTCATTTCCGCTCCCTTCAGGGTTTAGTCCCAACATTTATCAACAATTCCAATTTCTCCAGTTCCCTGCAGGAGCTCAGAATATCTTTGTGCCCCCGTGTTTTGTTTCCTTTTTACAGTTCTGAGTGCTTCTGTAAGGGCTTCGTTCATTCTTCTGTTTGCACTATTTCGTTCTCATTTCACACTCAAGAGTTACAAAACTACAGCCAAAATGTTAAAACCCTGATTCTGCTGTCCTGAATCTTCTTTTTCTTCTCTTTTTTTTCCCAGGAAAGATTCCGAAAGAAGCCAGTTTTTCCATTCACAGCCTGATTTTCAGTCACTATTTGGGTGGGGCATGGTATCCTAAAGGGGGCGCCAGTGAGATAGCATACCACATGATCCCCATCATTGAAAAAGCTGGGGGCGCCGTCTTGGTCCGTGCGCCAGTTCAACGCATCTTGGTGAACGAGGCCATGGAAGCTTACGGTAAAGAAAACCCTCCATTAAAGAGAATTTCAGCCTTTTTGTTTTTCTGGATAAGTCTCGATCGGAGATGCTGCTTCATAGTTGGATCCTGGGTTCAGTTTTGGGCTGAGGCATCTTCTGTGTGGAGACTGCATGCTCTCCTTAGGTTTGTTAGGGTTTTTACCCATCTGCTGTGTTAACTGGCCCCTAAATTGTCCATGTGTGAGAGCACACTCTTGTGTGTGGCCTGTGATTGGTTGAAGTCTGCCTGATGCCCGGTGCTTATGGGATAGGCTCCAGCTTCCCATGAGCCTCTATGGCAGGAAGGTATGGATGACAAGTATACGACGCATAAATCTTGGTAGATGCCAACTGAAGATTTGCAGTCGTTTTATGATACGGTGGTTACCACACATTTCATATTTTATGAATATGGGCTTTATTCTGTATCTTGTTCACTTTTGCCTTCATTGCTCCATCATTCTTCTTTTGGTCTCTTTCAGTCAGAGGACCCCACATGGTTTGTTTGTGGACCACAGCCACAATTTCAGCAGAATTTTATAAGTGAATCTGGGATTGACTGTAACAAAGTCCAGCAATATGATATTAGAAAAGTGCTAGTGTTTTCCTTTTCCTAGTTTAGTCAATGGTGACTTGGCATAAGAATAGATATTTTTCAGTGGGTCTGAGGATTTGTTTGAGCATGGAGTGTGGATTTCTGTAGACGTCCTCTTGTTGCTTTCAGGAGTAAGTGTGATGAAAGGCCAAGAGGAGGTGAACATCTACGCGCCGATAGTCATCTCCAACGCAGGGATCTTCAACACGTACGAGAAGCTTCTGCCAAAGGAGATCCAGGCCCTCCCAGGTACAGAGACACAGCATGTATGTGGCTGTGATGCGTCACCACAGCTTCATCAGAGCACAGGGCAAATGTGCTCAGTCTACTCTGTTTATTACACAGCAACTTTAAAGGAGGTGTTTGACGTTTTTTAAAATTAAGAAATTGCTCCACAGAATGAGAGAGTGAAAAAATGGCAAATATATTAAAACTAATAAGGACAGGAAGTGAATAGTGTTGATATTTTAAGATCTCATATAGAGCTCAGTAGACATTTAAGAAGTGAACCGAAATTTAGACGTGGCTGTTCTCGGGATCAGGGTGGCACGGTGGGCAGTGCTACAAGATCCAGGGTTCGAATCTGTCAGTCTGGGTTTTTTCCAGATGCTCTACTTTCCACCCAGTCTGAAGGCGTGACGCCCCGGTTAATTGGCATCTCTAAATTGCCTGCTGGGTAAAGTTCTGGAACATTGCAACTCTGTATAAATTAGTTACTGGAAAGGGCCGGATGGATGTTCTCTGCATCTTTCAGATGGGCTCAAATCCTATCCCTTTACATGCTTGTGTTTAGGCAAAGTCCGAAGACACACGGGTATGTTAATTGGCCCTGGTGTGAGTGTGTGCTCTGTACCCTACCTTGCGCCTGTTGCTTGCCAGAATAGGCTCCAGCTCCAGTCCTGCGGTTTACATTCCTGGAAACCTTTCCTTGTTGTGACCTCAGTGGTTTAGCAGGCATTTAGCTTTGCCTGACATTTCTGCTAGCAAGCTGCAGCTGTCTTCAGGGATGAGTACCAGGCCATTCTGGGCAGCATAGTACCCAGAAGACCACCAGTCTGCTTGTCCTCCTTCAGTAAATCACTCCCTGCTAACTGCTGCTGCAGTCCGTGTTTCATATCTCGTCCGATATCCCGTGTTGGTATGGAAGACCATACCTGCTTGTGAACAGCTGTTTTGTGTTCTTTGCCCTGATACACATTTGATGTCTATTATTTGCTCACAGGTCTGGAATTATTTTTATGCAAGATGCTGTGTCACACATACTTTTATTTTTCATAGGATATGTGATTGTCAGTGGACTTTCTGACGATAATACGTATGCTTCCTTATATTGTAACCTGAGAGACTGTCCAGTGGGCAGAAAGTATTCCATTTTAATAATACCCACATTACTATAGTCAGCATATCCTGTGTAATAAGAAGGTTGATCTTTGCACTCTGTTGCAGCTATTCAGTCTCAGCTTGGCATGGTTCAGCACGGGGAAGGTTTCTTGAGCATTTTCATGGGCCTGAATGGGACAAAGGAAGAACTTGGACTGAAGGCCGACAACTATTGGATCTTTGCAGAAGCAAACTTGGATGAACTGTGAGCTTACCTCTCTATCCATCTGTTTCATTGCTTAGTCTGCTGCATGTAGCACCTTCAAGGTATGATCTGGTCAGATCTCGGATGCCAGCAGGAAAATTGGGTTGCTGCCAGCAGTGGCACTGGTTGACCTGGAGGTGATGCCCTTTATCTAGATCCAGCAATCACAAACTCTGTCCTCACTATAGCAACATGGAAACACTGCAGTGGGAGATACTGTTCTATTTCTTAGATACTTAGCACTGATGTCCTGGAAAAATGTCTCTTAAAGGCTTCTTTGTCTGACCTGCCTACTGACATTCACTCAGCAACTCTTTTCTTTGCCATACCCACCAAAAAGCTGCTGCATGACTGAGTTGCTGCTGCAACATATCTGCACATTATCATTTTATGGTGTGCTTTTAAACACTAACATTAGTACTATCATTACCTTTGTCCTTTATTTTTAATCCAAGGCCAAGGATGGAGAACAATATAAATGTCTTTTGTTGTGACAACTGTATCAAACAGCTGAGACTGCCAGAATATCAGTTGTTTTTTCCTTTGTCTTCTGGGATCTTAGGGAAGACTGCTCAGTCTTTTTCCTTTCCATTGCTCTTTACTTGTTTCTGTTTACACAAGTCACTATACAGTTTTCCTGCTGGGCTCCTCCACGTTGCTAATGGACCAGGCCAGCATTAAGAGTATGAATATGGTCACACCATGTGGTAAGCTGCTGTCTGGGGTTCACCCCAAGCACCTGGTAAGCTGTGTCTGCTCTTATCTTTTCTAGGATGGAGAAATACATGAAAGCTGAGAAGGAAGAAGCTGCTAAAAGCGTGCCTTTTCTTTTTATCTCTTCCCCTTCAACCAAAGACCCCACATGGGCGGAAAGAAACCCAGGTAGAGATGGGATTCGGACCTGTTCCATTGCTCCTGTTCTTACTCTCCAGGCAGGGGATGTTTGGAAGCAGTGGTGTGGATTTAGGAAATGGAATAAGTTCAACTCCAGTATTTAGATGAAATTTGTAAGGAAATGTCTTTCATATTTTGAATGGCGTTCTCTCCAACAATCGTGACACTAATGAGATCCAGGATCCTGCTGTAACTGGTGTTGGTGGACCACTAGGGGGCAGTCTTCCTTCTGGATCAGTAGTACTAATCAATGCCCCAGTATGGGGATTGGGGATACTGTGCTGTAGCAGGTGCCATTAAAGATCCTGTGACAGTTTGTGAAAGAGTAGGCATGTTAATAGCCATGTGCAGGCAAACATCCACTCCAGAAGTTTGGCTTCTCACACAGGAGTTGAGTGATGATAATGTTGGTCCCCTTCTATATGAAAAACACTTAAGGACGCTCTGGGACTGAAAGCTCTAAATGAACATTAGGAATAGGTAGCAGACTGCTTTATCCCCTTGGTTCACAGAGAGTAGTATTGACCAACTGTAGACAAACAGTTACTCCTGCTTATATATTTACATCTCATCCATCGGACAGAGCTTATGGAGGTCCAATCACTCTGTCTGTTTCAGGGCCACACCTAGAACTGGAAACAAGGCCTTTACATTCAGCACTGTGATGCTCCTGAAGTTTATTTATTTTTTTTAGTAGGGGATTCCTGTTCCTCTCTTACAGAAGTGTGGTGTTACCCTGTACATGTGAACATTGCTCAAGCTCTCTGTGTTCTCTGCCCAGGGAAATCCACTCTGACTGTGATAACCAATGCCTGCTATGAATGGTTTGCCGAATGGAAGGATGAGAGAGTCAAAAACAGGGGACAAGACTACAAGAGGCTGAAAGAGGCCTTCATCAGTTCCGTCTTGGACACAGTAGTGGAGATCTTCCCAAAAACCAAAGACAAGGTAACCAGCTTCATAGCCAGACCGCTGCAAAAATACCAGAGTAGGACACATTGTTGTCAGCTGCATTCATCTCTGAACTGTCACACTCTTGCTACACTGTACATCTGTGGAGGCCTCGCACAGTACAGCCCTGTATGTACAGAAATTTAAAAGTTACATTGTTCTTCCACTGCTAGTAGGGCATATTACACAACACTGACTGATTAAAAGACTGAGTTGATGAATAGATTGTGTAGATTGCTGGTCTCCTCATTCATAAGCCATTCAAAGCGGGTTATATGTTTCATGCACAGCAGACGTTCAAATCAAAATCTGTGATATGGCTGATAAAGGAATTTTGATCTCAACTGTAATCCCTGAGTTTCATCACCATCCCATGCATTCGTTTCCAAACGTATAGCATTGTTCTTGATTTTTTTTTTGGTATCTCTGGTACATTCATTGTGAAGTGAACCAGCTCTGTTTGCTCTTTGTAGATTGAGTATGTAGATGCTGGGACGCCTGTAACAAACCAGCACTACATTGCTGCTCCACGAGGAGAGATTTATGGCTGCGATCACAGCCTGGCTCGCTTCACCCCAGAGGCCAGCATCGCCATCCACCCCCAGACTCCCATTAAAAACCTCTACTTGACCGGTAAGTCTCTGTGCAGTAGCACGTCTTGTGTTCTTACTATCATGTCTCGGCGTCACCGCTGTGACAGTGCAAACCCTCTTGCAGACACCTGGGGGAATCTTGTTCACAAATAAACAGTGAGGTTAAGGAGAGGGGATTCACTCAACAAAACAAGAAATACATGAATAAGCCCCTGTGTAACTACCTACATTTGCCATCCTGTTAAGCTGTAAGTATTCACAAGGATGTAAAGGTTAGATAAATGTCTGTGGCACTCTTACCACACATGCTTCAGGGTAATGGAAATTGTAGAGTGATTACAGGCTTACATATAAAATCTGCAATATGATATTGTAAGGATGTGTGTTAATATTTATTACAGGATTTTACAGTGTTTCATAATGGCTTAACAGTATTTTTCACCATGGGGTATATAATAACCGCAACATAAACAACATTTTAAAATACAGAAAAATGCATTTGAGGACATTCAAATTGATGATGTAGTGATGCACTTTTATATTATTATTATGATGATGATGATGATTTATTATTATTGCTTTTGTTAATGGAGCAATTAAGAATGTTTATAGGCTTCTTAAGTCGCAGTAACAGTATTTCTGGGGAGTCTGGAACGAGCTGCCCAGCCATGTTGTTAATAGCCTGGTTTCTGCCTCAGATCAGTGAGTTAGAAACTGCCAAATGGGCTAAATGGGTCGAAATATCACAAATGAGAGCGGCCAGTCTTATGTTCTCACTGGGCAGCAGGTACCGACACGCCAGTGTTGCTGGCCTAGACGCAGCGCCGGCGAGTTCAGAGCGCAGAGTGAGGTGACCGCAGAGCCAGAGTCCTGGAGCTCCGCGCTGGGCTTCCAGGATGTCCAATCAGCCACTCAGCCTACTGCGCCCGGCACTAGGGCCGGATTAAAGCGGAGCGCCTCGGCAGGTCTCTGTTGAGCCTCTGAGAGCGAGCGTCTCGTGC